GCGTTCGGGTCCCGGGCCCGCGGGAGCGTGGCAGCAGTAGCCCAGGCCCCTACAGATGGAAGGGCCGATCTCACCAGGATGGCCGCGTTCCTGAACTCTTCCAGGTCCGGGCTCTGGACCCAGCGGGATCGGCTGCTCCTCTGCAGCTGGGAGGGGTGTAATGCAGAAGTCGCCTTGGTCCCTAGAGGTAGGTGGGTGGCGGTTCAGACCATGTATCCTTCGAGGAAAGTGACCACGACATGGCCCTTTAGGGTCTGTTAAGAACAGAGCTGCGCCCCGCCGGCATAGCGCAGCGGCCGAGCGTTACCCCTGAACTAGGAGATCACGGTTGGATTCGCGGTCGGGGTACTTGCCCGGGTTGCTGGCTCTGTCCCCAGTAGGGGGCAGTGCCGGATGTGGCTGATCAATGATTCTCATTATTGATTTCTCTCTCTCTCTCTCTCCCTCTCTCTGAAATCAATAAAAACATATTTTTAAAAAATTTACAAAAATAAAAGAAACATAGCTTCTGTCGTTGAGTCTACCAAATTGAGCTCTTGAGGACAGAACAGGGCCCTTCTTACAGCCTTAGTACCTAGGTGCAAAGCAGTGGTTTAATAAATGGATTGAATGCAGAATGAGTGCAAGAATAAAGATGTGCCCATAACTGGGACAGTAAGTCTCAAACCAGAACTAGGTATAATCTGTTCCTAACAGATCTCCTCACTCCTTACTAATAAATACTGAGTACCTTCTATGTGCAAGGCATACTGCAAGAGATATAGCAAAAACAAGACATAAGGCTGCCTTCAGGACCTTTACTTTTCTGGAAGGAGGCTTGTCAATAAACTTCAGAGTTACAAATGCTATGAAAAAGATAAAATGGAGTGATGTGATGTAACTGGAAAGAGGATGATATGGGTGGTCAGAGGATACCTCTTCCATTTGAACTAGAACCTAGAACTAATGAGGAAGCAGCTATAAGAAGGTCTGGTCTGGAGGAAGAGCATTCCAGGCAGAGGGCACAGACAAGTATAAGGACTCAAGGCAGGAAAAAACTTGCCACATTTGAGGAACAGAAGAAGGCCATTGTGGCTAGAGAGAGAGTATTAGATGAGCCAGGAAAGTAAACTGGGACCAGCTCACACAGGTCCTTTCCCTTCAGAGTAGCAAGTATGGGCTCCTCCCACTTCATTTTGTACACTGTTGCCAAATTAGCATTTCAAGAGTAAGTACCTCTTTCAGACACTTCTGCTCAGAAACTTCTCCACATTCCCTAGTGCTTTCCAAAAATCCTTAGTATTATATTGAAAACCCTCCATAATCTAACCTATACCTTTATAGCCTTTTGTTTCATTATATATCCTGGCTAAATTTTTTTAAAATCTTCACCCCAGGATATGTTTAGAGAGAGGAAGGGAGAGAGAGAGAGAGAGAGAGAAAGAAAGAGAAACATCAATCAGTTCCCTTCTGTAGGCACCCTGACCTGGGATTCAACCCGAAACCTAGACATGTGCCCTGACTGGGAATCAAACTCAAAACTTTTTGGTGTGCAGGATGAAGCTCCAACCAACTGTGCCACCCCACCAGGGCCTGGCTAAATTTAAAAAAAAATTTTTCTTTTTAATCCTCACTTGAGGATATTTTTTCCATTGCTTTTCAGAGTGGAAGAGAGAGGGAGAAACATCCATGTGAGATTGAAGGCAACGGATTGGATTGGTTGCCTCCTGCAGGTGCCCCGACTGGGGCTGGGCATGGAGCCTGCAACCAAGGTACATGCCCTTGGCTGGAATCGAACCTGGGATTTCAGTCCATGGGTCAATGCTCTAACCACTGAGCCAAACCAGCTAGGGCCTGGCTAAATTTTTGACTTCAGCAAGTCAACCAAGTAGCTCTTGCACTAACTTATATGTTTTCATTTCATACCCTTCTCTTTATTTTTTATTTTTTAATTGAATTTATTGGGGTGACATTGGTTAATAAAATTATATAGGTTTCAGGTGTACAATTCTGTAATACATCATTTGTATATTGTATTGTGTGTTCATCACCCCACTTTCCCTTTACTTTAAATTTCTATCAAAGCAATATGTGAGCATAGTCAAATAGTATTAAGAAAGCTTTTAACAGTAATCCTTTGTCCCATTTCCCTCTCCACCCCAGTATACTTTTTTAGCTCATACTATTTCTTTTTTTTCAAGTCTTCACTTTTCCTAGACCATTAAAAAAAATTTTTTGTTTATTGATTTTAGGGAGAGAAGGAGAGAGAGAAACATTGATTTGTTGTTCCACCTGTTTATGCATTCATTGGTTGATTCTTTTTTTTTTTTTAAAAAAGTATCTTTATTGATTTCAGAGAGAGGGAGGGAGAGAGATAGAAACATCAATGATGAGAGAGTCATTGATCGGCTGCCTCCTGCACACCCCCGACTGAGGATTAAGCCCACAACCTGGGCATGTACCCTGGCCGGGAACCCAATAGTGATCTTCTGGATCATAGGTTGACGCTCAACCGCTGAACCATGCAGGCTGGGCCATTGGTTGATTCTTGTATGTGCCCTGACCGGGGATCGAACCCACAACCTTGGTGTACTGGGACAATACTCTCATTAACTGAGCCACCTAGCCAGGGCATGATTTGTTTTTAATTCTCTCTGGGAATTTTTAGGAAGTTCTCTTTATCCTTGAGGTTCTGAAATTTCATGATGATATTCCTTGGTGTTCATTCACTGTGCTAGGCACCCTTTCCACCCAGAAATTCAACAATATTTTCTTGAATTATTTAACAACATTACTACCATTTTCCCTGTTTTTTCTGCAACTCCTGTTAGGTGTTGGACCTTCAGGATTGAACCTAATTCCCCCCCCCCCCC